TTCTAGGCTCTAGGAATTCAGCAGGAGTGAAATAGATGTAATATTCCTGGTCTCACAGAGCTTTTAACCCATTAGGAGAGGTGAACAATAAATAAAATTAGCCAAAATATATAGTATTTCAGATGTAAGAAATAAAGAGAAGCAATAAAGAATGTCAGACAGTGAGTACAGTGTGGAAAAGCCTGAGAGGGCCTCAGGGAAAAGGTGATAGTGCAACAAATTTCTGAAAAAAGGGAGGGAACAAGCCATGAACATATCGGGGGTATAGAGAGCCCTCCCGGTCCTCGTCATGGCCCAGGAGGTTTATATAATTTTATGGAAAAGTTATTGGAATTCTAAGGAGTTAATTTTAATCTACCACTTCCAGCATAACCCACAGAGTAAATAAAGACACAATAATCTACCCAAAATGGTGGGAAGTCAAGGGTGTCCTGAGTCTGACTACAGTGATGGCTATCCAGAACAGAGGCTTTTACCCAAGACTGAACCTAGATTTTATTCATTTGTGAAGAAGGGAGTGGCTGGAGGATGAGTGACTGTGAGAATGGCAGGAAGTACGTGAGTGCCATGAGCTGGGCTAAGTAGGAGGCCTGAAATCACCTCTGCAATATTCAGAAAGAAGGATATGTAGAAAAAGTAGTCTGCATAACACAACTGAGGTAGTATCCAAAGTTTTTGGGTTGGTGTTTCAGCTCTGATGTGTAATCTCTGAAGCCCCAGGGAATCATAGCCTCTATGTCAAGGCTCTATCCCAGCTGACGGCAGGGAGCATTGGCTCACACATCCTGCCTCAACCTGGCTCACTTGTGGGAACAATGGGGGGGTCCAGGGAAACACACCTGCTGTGTTCAAAGACTACCATCAGCACCTCGGCTAGGTAGAGGGTAATGGCAAGTGCAAAGACCCTGAGGCTGAACCATGATGAACAGCAAGAGAGGAAAGTCTTTAAGAGTAGTTACTCTCAGGGAATGAGGACAATTTCCCTTTTGAAAAGATATTCAGTTTTAATTTTGTGTACTCTATTGCTTGAATCATTTTTTGTTGTTTTTTGGTTTTTTTGTTTGTTTGTTTTGAGACAGGGTCTTGCTTTGTAGTGCAGGGTGGCCTTGAGCTCACTATGTAGCCCTATTTGGTCTTGAACTCACAGTGATCCTCCTGCCTCAGCCACCTAAGTGCTGGGATTACAGGTGTGCTCTACCAAACCCGGTTTACTTGAACCTTAAAGCAGGAGTATGCATACACTTTTAAAACGTTTAAACTAATTTACTTTCTAAAAGAATCAGAAAGAGATGTGATACTGGTCTAGCATACCCCAAGAAACGAAACACGACTTTTCAAAAGCACCAACATTTTCACAGGAAATGACTCAAGAAATGTTTTATCAAAATTGCATATTGATATTGCAGGATTATTCTGAGTGTTAGAAATAATCACAGTGGCCTCTGTGAAATGTCAGTTCCAATTTCAAAGTCTGCTATAACTATGACAGCCCCACACCAAGTACTTACATCACATGTCTTGTTGGATACTATAGCCTCTGACAGCAATTTACATTTATTTCTACTGAGTTGAGGGAATTTGTATATGAGAATATTATGAGATGTCACCATTGTGATTCATTGTCCTTCAACAAACTATCAGCCTTAATAGAAGCTAAGGATCCCCCAAAGCGAGGTGTTAGAAGAAATTGGCCAAAACAACTTGTTAGATTCCTCATTCAGCATATAATTGCATATTCAGCAGAAGTCCCTGTAGGCTTCCAGGGAGAGGGCATCCGCAAATCCTGCATAAGATTGTGCAGGGATTTCCTTCTGTGTTCCCTTTGCCCATTTTTTACTAGAAAAGTCTTTTTAAGAACCACAGTACCCCTCCCTTTCCTTCCTCCTCATCATCTCTTTTTTGCTCCTTTCCTTCATAGCTTATGTGCATATGCATGCTTCATTTTTCCTCTGCAGCATATGCTGTTTCTTTATCTCCTCTACAAATTCTAGCTGGCCTCTACCTCATTACTGGTATCTTGTCTTCTTTTGTTTTCTTTTCCTGTGTATTCCTTTTTAAAGTTTGTGGGCTGGGGATATAGCTCAGCAGCACAAGCACCTGCCTGGCAAGTGTAAGGTCCTGAGTTTGATTCCAGGTACCCCCCAAAAATAAATACATAAATAAAGTTTGTGTTCAATATTCATAATGTATGCTGAGATACATTTTAATAGACTTGAGACACTTTTACTTTCTTCAGAAAGAAAACAAAATATGAGGGAAAATTGTAAATACAGAAATGCTAAAATGTTTTTCACTTAAAAAATAAAACAGAACTCGGAATCCTTGCCCAAGTGGATTTCTATTACTATAATTCAGGTCAGTCTCAGATGAAGGTGTGTCCAGCCTATGGCCCACAGGCTACACGAGGCCCTAGGCAGCTAGTAGTGCAACCCCACGAGATTTTTTTAACATTTTGTGATTATTAACATTTTGTTTCTTTTGATGTTTTTGAGACTGGTCTCAAATTCACAGTCCTTCTGCCTCAGCCTCCGAGTGTTGGGGTTACAGGGATGTGTCACTATGCTTGGCTTTTATAGGAACTTTTCATGACTCGATTACATGGTGCTTGAGTATAGGCAGCATAAATAGCAATGAAACACCTTGTAGGGGAGGAAATAGTGCGACGCGTTCTCCACCTCCTGTGCCTCCCACACAGTCAGTTATATTGAAACACATGTGTATCAGATGTTACATGTGCTTGTGTGACTTGGCCAGTAAAATACAGCAATTACCCATAACAGAATTTCAACTCACCTAACACATGTGTGCGCCTGTGAAGACTGGCACTTATTGTTATTAAGCAAACGTGAGAGTTACCTTATTCTTATTTAGTTACTAAATGCATATATTTTATACATGGCTGTAGCATATAAATTTCTCTTCACTCATCGCAGCCCAAGTAAACCAAAAGATAGGATATCCACGGCCAAGACAGTAGGTAAGTCAGTGAGGTATTGTTTTAGTCACTAACAGTAAGGCATGACTTAAAAAGGAATTTAAGAAGGAGATGATAAATTTGAGGCATCTGTGATACGAGTCTGCATTCCTGTGGCTGTGGCAGACATTTCCAATCAATCACAGACTTCTTCCTCCACCCACCGTGATAGTAGTTTCAGAATCCCTCTCCACACAGCACTCTGGGGCATTGCTGGGGTTCACTGACAATGACAGTTGCTATGGTTTTGATCTGAAATGCCCCCCAAAGACCCTCATGTTGATGGCTTGCTTCCCAGTCCTGGACACTATTGGGAGATGGTGGAACATTTGGTTATGGGGCCTGGTTGAAGTTAAGTCATTGGGGTAACTGCCTTGAACTCTCTTTCAAGTAGATATGGGGATCCTGGCTCCTTCCTTCTTGCGTTTGTTTCCTAGCTGCTGTGATGTGAACAGATCTCCACTACATGCTCCTTCCACAATGAACTGCACTACTACAGGCCCAAAGCCACAAGGCCAAGTGACCATGGACTGAAATTTCTGAAAGCATGAGACAAAATAAAGCTTTCCTAATTTCAGGTTGATTATCTCAGGCATTTTGTTATAGTGATGAAAAGCTAACTATCACAGACAGAAATTATTCTCCTCCCTCGGTAGCAACTCTTCTACAGTCAGCTATCATTGAGCCTTGATTGTGCCACTTCTGCAGAACTACAAGGTTAAAAACAGAAAGAATAAACTCCCTTACTCTAAAGAATGTTCCCAGAGCCATAACTTGGATGAGTTGGTTAGAAGTTTGCCCCTATGCATCAAATTTTAAAGGATAAAATATTTGCAATTTGTGAAGGTTCTATAGCTCGGCCACTACCCCACCACCATTGGCTCCAAGCTGTTGTTCAGGGAGTTCTCTGGTCAGATATAGAACCTTCAAAATTTGGTAAGGATTGGAAGAGTCCAGGACCAAAAGCAAATGCAGGTAGCAGGTCATGTGCCCTGGGTTCTTTCTCTCCTTCTGTCTCTTCTCTCCTACCCACAGCCTGCTTTTCTGTACTTACTTCTATCAATAACAGACTGCATTTTGTGTTTTTTGCCCCAGAGTTCAAATATTGCTAAATGTCACTTGATCTTTTCATACCAGATAATGAAACCTGTTTCACTACATGGATTGGAAAAGTGCAAGAGCTAAATCACAGTTTGAATCCATGAGTCAGAAACCTTAAAAATACGAGTCTTACTAACCTAGAGATTCCATTTCTACAGCTAAAAAGAATAAGTATTTAATCATATGCATAAAAATTTTTATCAGAACATTGTTTATAACATTGAAAACAAAAAAGAATCTGAATCTCCAACAACAAGGAATCAGTCATATAAGAGCAAAGTATCCATGCAAAGTCCTGTGCAAAAGTTTTCAATGAATTTCCTCTATTCATAATATGTGATAAGCTTCAAAGTGAAATGACAAACATTACAAATGCTATCAACTGTTTTTTAAAACATCATATATGAAACAACCAGTATTATCTTTAAATAACACCAAAACATTACAGGTAGTTAGCTCCCAGGTAGGCTTAAGGATTGTTATCTTTTTATTCTTTTTGCTTGTCAGTAGGTAGGTAGGTTTTATGTGTCCCAAAATGAATCTATAGGTATTTTAAATATCAAAAATGCAACAAAAGTCTTTCTTTGTTGGTGTTGGCGTTAACCTCTTTTTCTTTAGTGATTGTGTTAAGTAGGGAAAATTTGGAGAAGACTGGAAGTGTGTAACAGTACAGTAGGAATGCACTCATTTTACCAACTGAGGGTTTACAGTTCTTACTACAGTTATTTTGGAAGACAGAAGAGCCCTGGACTTTTAACAAAAACAGAAGTTAATCTAGGATAATAGAGGGCTGTTTGTTTCCACTTTACTCACCCCAGGCTTAATTTGTGGGGAGGGCTGTCTTTTGTGTACCCTTATTCCTACTAAATGCAGCGTAAGTTCTGCTCAACACAACATGCACTGAACAGGTGGCTGTGAGGGACAAGAGGATTCTACACAGGAAAATGTGTTTCAGACATTATAACGTCCGTACCAACACACAGTGATATTAGAGGAGTGTCTTATGACCCAGATTCTTTACTGGTTGCATTCTTTGTGTTTCTTGGTGGGTGTTTTGTTTGTTTGTTTGTTTCAGAGGCTAGGTCTTGCTATCTTTTCCAGGTTGACCTTGAACTTCTGGGGTTTAGACATCCTCCTTCTTTAACATCCCAGTTACCTGGCTGGGCCATCACACCCAGATGATTGAATTTTTGCAGTGGTCCTTTTGCAACTAGGGTGGCACAATAATTCATGGCAGTTGTACTTTGCAGCTTACATCTGAGCGAGACCAGCACGAACACTTCAGTTTCGCCTTTCTCACAATTTGTTTTCTGTGCCTCCTCATGAACTTAAATGAGCTTCTTGAACAGCTGACTTCCTTTGCATTGTATAAAGGACCAGAAATTTATTTCTTTTGGGTAAAAACATCACTGAGTGAAAACAGTTCCAAATAAAAGACAGCACCCTAAAAAATGTCAAAAGATCAGTAAGTTTGGAGCAGTAGTTTCCAACAGATGCTCCTATAGCAGCATTCCCATGGTGACATCATGACTTCCAAGGATAAGGACAATGTTTGCTCTCATAGGTTCCTTTCTTTTTTTTTTTTTTTTTTTTTTGCAGTACCAGGGATCAAACTCACAACCTCACGCTTGCCAGGCAGGCACTTAGGCCACTGAGCTATATCCCCAACCCCTTAGGTTTCTTTCTTCATTTAAAAAAACTGAGTCAGTGTTTTTAGACTGCACTGATATAAAAATGAGTATAATCTAGCTTAGGTTCCACATGTGCATTCATTATTTATCTTATTATTCTCTTCTGATTTTAAGATTAAAATCAAACTATTTTCATAGTCCATTAAAAATAAAATAGACCACGGACACTGGGCTTACTAGACAAATCAATGAGAGCAACCCTTGAGAATTTATTGAAAATGCAAATTCTGGGGTTCTACCCCATACTTAATGAACCAGAATCTGAGCAGTGTTTTGACAAGCCTTCCAAGTGAATCCAAGACACACTCAAGTTTGAGAACAACTGGTTTACACAGTTCGAAACTAGACAGGTGTTATTTCCTTGGCAAAAGATTAAAATTCTCCTCATTGGCCCCATTTCTTTACTGATAGGGTAGGCAAATGACCTTTATGGTCACAGGTCTTTCAGTAGAAAGTCATCCTTTTGACTATTTTTTAAGCTTGGTTTTGTCACAGAGAAGATGTTTAAAGCTTAAAAAGTAACATTCTATAACTGATCCACTCACTCAAACTTTAAATAACTTTATAGTAGTGAATTTTATCTTTGAAATGAAAACACGATATATATTTTAGTTACAATGTACATCTTCATATAAAACACAAGATACATGTTTCAAAAATCACTGCACTATGTAAAATTGCATGATAAACACTGCAAGCTTAGGAAAGTAGGGCACACTGCTGTCAGCAGCACATACAAAAACAGATAGGAACCTAATAAAACCCGCAACAGTTTTTTTCCCACCTTCAGTTGTTAATAAATGCACAAGTACTACAGTAAACATGGCATTTTAGCTTGAAAATATGAAACTTGACCATGGAAGTGGGCCTCAGAAGGATTATAGCTTTTCGTTACTGTGAATGGGAAAGGGGAATTATCTGAAACTCCACAGCTGTTACACTAGGGATGGGTGAATGTGGCTCCTGACACACAAGGTGAAATAACAGAGCTGGTTTATGTCTGAGCTGTGTGCATTTCTGCCCTCCTTTGCAGCTTGGTTCATCTAAGTGCAGGTTTCTGCATTCATCTAGCGTTTCTCTCTTGTGAAATCATGCATAAGCAAATGCAGAATTTGCATGATGCCCAAATTGTTCCCTAATGGAACAAAAATGTTTTCTCAAACAAGCATAGCAGAACCGATTCTGTGTGCATAATGTTACAGTTCTATATCTAAACTCTGTACACAAGCATTACTTCTACATCTGAACATTGATCTGTGTACATTCTATGAGTCCAATGTCACTGTTTTAGATACAACACTGAGCATGGGTGGATGAGAAAGATACGGTATATGTGTTTATGCTAATAGAGGAGAAACCCTATTAGAAGTAATAGTGCCTTACTTAAATATCATCCTAGGAAATTAACTTGTGAATCAATCTAAAACATTTTAATTATGAGTTTTATCAGCGTCTATATTTGTTAATTATAAGGAGTGAGGGGCAACTAGACTGGCCTTTTTCTCTTCAATCTTCCACATTGGAAAAAAAAAAAATGGGGATGAAATCACATTTTTACTTTTACTTTAAAACTGAGACTCGAGCTTTGTGGATACAAAAAAGTAAATGTTTCTTGACTCTCCTATTGTGACGTTAATCACTATAGTTTTAACCTTTCCCCCAATAGTTGTGATAAGGAATCAAATACAAGCAGGCCTTCTTTTTCATGGTTTTAATATGCATGCATTTCAGTTACCATGGTTTAGTTAAATAACATCAGTCCCTCAACAGCATGGATCAAGTTTTAGTTGCCATGGTATATTAACTGTGAGTAATTGCACAAAGCCCAAGTTTCATTGCTAGCTCTGCAGTCCACAAATCGCTATGTAAATAACAGCTGCACATCATGATCAGTGACTAATGGTGCCGCATCTTTCAACGTGTGTCAGGGAGTGGTCACTGACATCTGTTATCCACTTGTGCCGAGGCAGCAAAGCATGCAGTTGAGTAGCTTTCTTGTTCCCCCATGATAAAGCCACATGATATTCTACCAAAAGAGATATTTGACAGAGGCAACTGGGCAACAAAGGTGAAAGTGCACCAAAGAAAAAAATATGTGGTAGGCATAAATACACTCTGACTGTAGTGTAAAGGGAGTTATAGAAGAAGTAGCCAAGCATGGGGAGGTTGGCACTGCTGGCATTGTAAACTCTCTGGATATGCACGCAAAGGACAGAAGTGAAAGTAACTCATCCACATAAATGAGGAGATGCTGGTGACAAGATAGATGCAGATGTTCTAGAGGAAGAGACACCAGCAAAATTTTCCCAGTAAAGGAACTCTCAGAGCTATTTCCAAACAGTGAAGACAAAGGACAAAATGTTGGGTGAATCCCAAGTATTCGATAATTAGAAGAAGCATAGGAATGATACTTCCTCCAAACTATAAATCATATGATGAGAATATGACAAATACAGTTCAAATTGCTCTGGATAAGTTTTACATGGAAATAATACTTTAGTTCTCAATGTTTATAATGTTTCTTTTTTTTTTCTCCGGAACCGGGAACCGAACTCACGACCTTGCGCTTGCCAGGCAGGCGCTTTGCCGCTGAGCTAAATCCCCAGCCCCTATAATGTTTCATAGTACACTAAATAAATATCAGTTTTACCACTTTTTTTACTTTTTTTTTTGTACCAGGAATCGAACTCAGAACCTTATGCTTGCCGGGCAGGCGCTTATGCCACTGAGCTATATCTCTGGCCCCGTTTTACCACTTTTTTCTTATATATTTGTAGCCTATAATAAGGTAGTTACATTAACAGCAACAGTCACTATAATGTTTGTATTTTGACAAGATCTCAGAACTATTTAAATTTTTCATTGATTGTTAAAACAGCTTTGCACATTTCAGCTTGTGCTATGGTTTGGATGAGTTTCCCCCAAAGACCCCTGTGTTAAAAAGTCTTGATCCCCAGTCCATGGTACTTTTGGAAGGTAGTAGGATCTTTAAGAGGCAGGGCCTGGAGGGAGAAAGTTAGGTCACTGGGAATGTAACCTTGAAGGACACAGATGTCATAAAGTGAGCATCTTTCTTTGTCGTGTGACCCCACCATGCTGTACTGCCTCCTCAAGGACACAAAAGTAATGGGCCAACTGATTATGGACTGATGGACTCTAAACCTGGGAGCCAAAATGAACCATTCTCCCTTATAAATTATTGTCTCAGGTGGTTTGTCACAGTGCCAGAGAGCTGACTAACATACACAGTTACTTTTACTATTTCACCTGAGTGTGTAAAGTGAGGACTGCTTGTACAACCTGTAAAAATGTGAACTTTCAGTTATCTCTGGACAGCCAATAGTAATGATAAACATGATACAATGTTAACTTTTTAGAAAGCTAAGATAATTTTCTGCTGCCTAATGCCAACAGTTGTTCCCAAGTCCCTAGTCTTATACATTACCCATGTAAATGAAGTCTGAGGTACCTGTTAAAGATGAATCATGACCCCTTATTCATTTCTCAAAGGCAGTACAGTATTTTGGAGGCACAGAGAACAGGCAGTAGGGCAGAAGCATGAACAGAGCTGTTTAGTTGCTGGAAACAATTTCAGTCCACTGGCTGCTTGAGGTCCTGGAATCAAGTTGACTGATGTTAACTGAATTTTTAGATAAAAGTATTTTGGCAATATGTTGTACAATTTTTAGATAGCTTTTACTACCTCTGAAGAATAACATATGGTACACATACAATAGATATTTTTACATCTCCTTAGGAACCATGCCATAATTACAAATGGGAGGAGCAGAAATCTACAAAGCTTATAGTTTTGAAACAGTAATCCTTTGTGTGGATATTTTGTAAGTCACAATAAATCTACCTTGGGCTGAGATTATTTCAAGAAGAAAAGACTACCAATGGATGCTTTCAGCATTACTGTTTTTAACAATTAGTTCTTCAGCCTATATGTATAATTTAGAGACCTAGCAGTTTCCTTTTATTAGATGACCAACCTCATCTCCTTTAATCAGCTGGTACAAGGAGGATTTTCAGATAGGTTATTCATCAGATTTACGCACAGCTGCCATCCACTGTATTTCTAATTGAAGGCTTGGTGCTGGCTTTTACGAGGAAGTCAAGTTCAATTGGAAAATAATAAACCTTTGGAGTCCAAGCTCTGTTCCTCCCACAAACCCTCTACTGTTAGGATGTGATTCAACTCGTTTTACTACACTGAGATTGTGAGAATTTCTCTTTTTTAATGTTGTTTACTGCAACCGAATGTTTGTGTTCTCTGATTGTGCTTACATTTACACAACAAATAAATAATCTGGAGAAAAGATGAATATTTTGTTAATAAATCAGTTGTTTACTCTGTACAAAGCTCAAAACTCAGTTTGATCCTCCTCCTTTTCCCTCTTGCAAACTGACAATTTTTACTGAAATGATTGAATTACCACATGTTTTGACATTATGTAGGCATGCCTTCAGCTAGCATTCGGCCACATGTTATAAGAAACCTAAAACTCAGACAAATTATTCAAAAATTTTGAGGCTACCACATTTTTATAATGTGAATGATTGATTGAAATTTGTTGGGATTCCAGAAAAACTAAAGCTCTTTCAATGGAAGCAAGGCATGATTTGAATATTTATAAGATAACTGGAAATTCCACAATATGTTTGCTTTAGCAGAGGCAATTAAATACAAAATAACAAAAATAGGGTCCTTCAACAAGCATGCGAAAAGAGTAGAGTGAGAAAATATAGAAGTGGAGTCTACTAAATTTCACTGCGATTTGTTTATGCCTGTGTGATACCTTCGTCAGAGATGATTACCTGAATTTTCTGAGTGTTCCATGTATAAAATGCACTTGCATGTTATGCTTCCACTTTTCATATTCAGGGATCTAATTATGATTTGAAGAACCAGAAGACAATTATGACTATACCTCTATGAAACAGAATATAGAGGCTGGTTCCTCTCCCACAGCACTGCATGCTAATGCCTGTACTCAGCCTGCCTCTCCTGCATGGGGCCATTTGGATATCAACTGAAATGTTTAGTGGCAAACTGGAATTTGAGCACTGCTGTGGACCAAAATAAGTGGTTGCTTCCTTTCGCTTGACAGATGTAGAGCACTGTTTCCCTGGGCCTGGAAAGGAAATGACATTCTCTTCAGTACGCATGATGTGCCGAATACTTACTATGCCACACACATTTGCCACATTATTTTGTTTAAGATCTTTACTGCAACCTTACGCCATATGTCTGATGTACTCATTTCAAAGATGAAGAAACTAAAATTTAAAGATAAATAAATCTCTGAAGCAGAATGTTGTATGGAAAACATAAGAGAGAGAGGATATTAACAGTATAAAGCCATTTATATCCTTTCTTCAAAGCATGCCAAAAATGGTACATATTGCCTAGACTTAAATACATATGTACTAAATATTTAAGCATATGAAGCAGGAAAGGCAAATACCAAATTAGGAAATTTTTTGCTGGTGAAGAAAAATGAGATCAAACATAAGTACACATAGGCTTCCTCCCTATTTGTATTTTCTGTCTTTGAGCTAAGAATTGAGTGTACGGGTAATTATAATGGCATTCTCTGCACATGGTATGCGGTTGAAGTATTTTGTAGAGGTGAAACATTAAAGTTAGTTGTGGTGAGTCACACAGCTATTAAAGATCAGGCGCTACTGATTGGACTCCAAACCTACCTCTACTCAATGCTGAATTCTCTCTGCTTCTTCTTATAATTTGTACCAGCTGGATAGGGCTTCAGCCTTCTTGTGGAAACAGCGTATCCAGGAAAGAAAGTGCTGATTGGTCATCGCTCCATGACTGTGTATCACGGATGTGGGTGATGGGGAGAAGAATCAGGAAAAGCCAAGGAGACAGGATGTAAAGGACCAATGCTACTTAAAGCAGGATCAGTGTGAGTCTTTGGTAGGAAAATGGATGTACCTTGAGACCACAATACTAAGTGAAATGCATCAGATACCAAAGGTTAAGTAATGCATGGTTTCCCTTATCTGAGAAACCCAAAATATAAATAAGTTAGAACAAAATAAAATAGAGATGATAGAAAAAGGGAGATAGTCTATGTTAGAGATGGGAAAGGGGTATGAGGATTAGGAGAGATGAGAGAGAAGGGGAAGGGAAAGGAAAATAGAATCACGACGCACTAATACACTTGTAATAGTTAACTGATTGTGTAAATCTGAGCAGGAAACATTCAGCTAAATGGGATCTGCACAGTTCTGGGTGTGGCTAAGGGGATTTACTCAAGACAGAAGACCTACCCTAGTGACACTTGTCACCAGAATGGTATAAAAGGGAAATGAAGAAGGAAGGCTCGTTTCTTTGTTTTTGGAGAAGCTCAAGTCTTCGCCTTCACCTTGATGTCACCTCCTAGTTTCCAGTGCAGACCCTTCAGCCTCCTGTTGCAGGCTCACACAGAGCAGTACACTGAGCTCCCGGCCTTCCACTAGCTCCTTCGTTTTCCACTACAGACAGGCCTTTTGCACTCTTGCACATCTGACTCTGTGAGTGGCCATTGTAAGCCTGCTTTGTAAATTCTTATGCATTAGTATATCTTGAATTGAATCTATAAGCACTGGCTGACATACATATATATACCAACTCCCCCTGATGAATGTATTTATTATGTATTGCAAATACGCATTAATGAAAAGGGGGAAGAAAAAACTCATATTACTGAAGATTATAATGGAAGTTCACCAAGATCCTTCACTTCCTAAATGCCATGGTCCTAGCCGCTGTGACCACACCAATAACTGCATTCTCACCTTCCCCAAACAATGGATGGGACATTCTTCTAAAATTAGCTAGTCTATTACCCAGTATAGCAATGAGGCTAAGTAAACTGGTAGTGAAATGCCATCACATTCATAGCTCTTTTGAGGAACAATGCTTAGGATTAACTGGATGCTGGTAGCAAAATTAATTTTTGATGTCCTCTAAAAAAGATATTATTATTAAAACTCTAAAATTGACTTCTCAGGATGTTCCTTTTCTCTCCTTTCCTAATCATTTAACGAATCCATAGAAAACTATGATGGAAACTGAGCTTTCGTTTTAGTTTTTTTGGTTTTGCTCTCTTTTTTTTTTTTTTTTTGTCTTTTTGAGACAGGGTGTTGCTATGCAGTCCAGGTTGGTCTTGAGCTCACTCTATAACTCAGGCTGCCCTCAGACTCGAAATGATCCTCCTGTCTCAGTCTCCCAAGTGCTGGAATTACAGGCATGGGCCACTACGCCCAGCTGAAACTGAGCTTTAGAAACATTCGCCTTTGCCTACTTTATTTTGCACTATCAATTTATTATCTCTGACTGAAATGATCATTATCTTCCCAGCACCTAGCATAGACCTTCAAATATGGTAAGCAGTCAATAAATATTTGTAGAATTTAATGAGCACATGTGTAAATGATTATGAAAAATATTACTTGATGCTTGCATTTATGTTACAAGGGAGGCAGCAGAGTATAGTGATTTAAGAGTCTTACCAAGGAGTCGGTAGTTGGGAACAAAGTCAGCATAGTCAGACCACTTCTCTGGAATCTTTGTCCCATTAGTTATGGTACTTGGGGCACGTGAACCTCTGTGAATTTCAGCTTCAGTTTCCAAAACTGGGGATTACACAAAACCTCCTCATTTAAGGTTGTTGTGAAGGTTATACAATGCCTCTTAAGGGCTTAAAATAATTCTAGATAAAGGTGCATATATATTTTAGCTATTATCTTGATAACTTTTGGTTCTAGCTATATAACCTTTGTGTTCTTGATCAAGACAGTGTTTATATCTCATTGGTTTCTAAATAGGTTTTTTTTTTAAAAAAAGGACTTTATGGAGCTACCCATCCTTTTTTTTTCTCTCTCTTATCAAAATTTCTGTTTCCTAACAGTAAATTCACCATTCACCTACTGTTGCAGAAGAAAAATGACTTTAATCTCAGAGGCAACATTAAAAATAGGGAAAAAGAAAACAAATCAATAAAGGCAAAGGTCATGGAAACAGATGATTTTAACATAAAGCAAGGCTCCTGAGGTTATAACACAGACTAAAAATATGTGGGTAAGCAGGACATTTGGAAGAGAAATTCCATGTGGATACCAATATGTAAACAATTTTACAATTCAAATATTTAAAGTCTCCATGTAAATGAAAAGACCTGAAGTAAGTAACTATATACTGAACAATTTCCTTTTCTAGCAGTTGTTTTCCTCTCCATACAAACATAGATTACTCTCTCTTTTTCTGTCTCTCTCTCACACACACATACACACACACACACACACACACCATGCTGTGAATCAGTTCTCTTCTAAACCAGTCATTCTCTGCCATGAGAACTTAGATGAAGGTTCAAGGAAAAACAATGAAGTGACCAGGCTGGGGTTAAGCTGAGCCTGTCACTCCTCATCACCCCTATGCATCATTAGATGTGGCCAGTATCAGTCACTATAAAATATTATTTCAATCAACTTCGGAATTTTTAAATGATTTTTTATATAAACAGGAAAAAGTTATTAAAATTTATTACTAAGGCCAGCAGCTTTGAAATACTTTTTATCATGATCCCCAAAGCATAACACATTTCATTACAATCCAGATGGTCTATTTTATATCATTTTTTTTGAAATATTGGCTGTGACCACTGAATTTATTTTCACAATTCACTAATGGGTCGTGACCCTGTGTAGGGAAAACACTGTCTTAGGATGTTGTGTCGAAACTTTCCCACAGAAGTCCCTGTCCAGCAGCAGAGTCGGAAATTTGGAGATGAAGCAAGAGTTTGGGAGGGCTGGGAGGCCTCCCGGAAGTGCGCAATCTCTTTGAAGTTCCTTTATTTCACCCTTAGCATTTACCCAATTTTGCCATTCGTTTTCTATAAAATGCTTTAAATGTCCGTGTAAGTCAAAGAGCTGCTCTGCGGCTCCACATGGGATAATTCTCGGGCTGCCTGCTACGAGCCCTGCCGAGATCAGGCGCCCCAAGTCTGTAAAGCAGGTGATGGGGCCGATGCGCTGACCCCAGAAAGTACAGGCCTTTCGGCTGCCTGTGGATGATCTCGACAATTACCGCGGGTGATCTCAACGAGATGAGGACATTCCCTGTCGTCTATGTGGCACGTCCGAGTGTGGCCCTGCGCCTTTCTCCAGCCCTCCTGGGCCTGATTGCTGGAAAGGTGAGCTCTAACTCAATGATTCAGACCCTCATTAACCCAGGAGCACTCACACGGCCTCCAGGCGGCCCAGCGTAGCAGGAAGGGGACAGCAGCGCTAACGAGGTCACCCTGCAATGCTGGTAATGATGAGCCAGATGATAAATGTGGACCCACGGAATCAATCATGTTGAAGGAAGAACACGTAAATTCTTATTTTTCCTTACAAGCAGCTTCACAGGAGCTTGACATCATCCTTCCCCTGAATCAGCCAGTGCCGAGATCAGAGTGGGCGGAAAGAAGACAGGGAGAAGTAAATAAAGCAAGGCAAGGAGAACCTTTTGCATTTTTAAGCATTTCCTTTGCTTAACTTGGTATCAAAGAACCCAGTGGCTTGGTGAAAATCCAAAGACGGGATGAAATGATGTCAGAGCTGTGTTCCTTCAAAGAGAAAATCTGTGATAGATCAAACTCCTCCTTTGTGAAATGACACCCGGAAGTCTGGGATTGGCTATATGCAAAAGTTAAAATAAGAAGAGCTCAAAAGAACTCAAAGAATATTTTCTTTGATAAAATTCTAGCTCTATAGATACAGATATAAACATAAAAATAGGTGATTATAAGTAAGGGGCTTCAGCAAAGATCCCTGTTTCAGAAATTCACAGCAAAACACTGCTACAATAAGGCACCTAAATGTTAGGATCCCTCTCTCTCCCTCTCTCTCTCTCTCTGTCTCCTACTGCACTACTGTCTCCAGTCATAAACCTGGCCCTGTAACTAAGGTAGATTTCAGCAGAATGCATTCCTGCAGTAATAAAAATTCTGCAATTAGAAAAAATGAGCCTCTTCTGTTTAAAAGTACAAGGGAGTTCATTTATTTCATGATTAAAAGAATAAAGCACACATGTGCAAATGTGAATATCTAAAAAAGCTGAACATTGCATTTTCCTAGCTGAAGACATAGTAATGAACTCCAAGTCAAAGGAGCCCTATAACTATTTCAGGTAGAAGTAGCCACTGTAATAATATTTAATTACCTTCAAGAAAGAATTGGGTTGGTGCAGAATTTGAATATGAATCTCTAAAAGACAGGACACAAAATCTCTAAAACTCTCAGAGATTTCTGACTGCCTGACATAATTAAATTGTGGATTCAAAATGTACAATCAAAAATATTGCACCTAAGAAGTTTTTTTCCTAATTCTTGAAGCTGTAAAATAAAAAGGTTCATTGATTATTGATTTTTGTTTGCTTATTTGTGTCTGACAGTTTTTATAATAAATGTGGCTATAACTTTTTAAAACAAAAAAAAAAATAAAAAGGTTAGGCCATATAACAGAACTACCTGGATAAAACCTTGAAAGCACTTTTGAATGACATACAAGCACACTGCTAGGTGACTTATGAAAATCCAGCTAAGTGGTGTAAAGTCTATAAAATGCAGGCTTGGTGTTTTTCATGTAACTTGCCTAAAGGTATGGGGAGAGAAAGGCTATCATTTTTGTCTTTCATTCCAGTTCCCTCCTATCCAGGGCATCCCCTCTGGCTAGAAAGCCAGACAGTCATTATGGGCCACCTACTAAGGATTTTAATATCTAGAAAATATCTGAAGTCTGTGTAGATTACTGGTGTGTAGTAAAAACTGATATAAAGCAAATTATTAGAGACATTAGCATGTCTTAGAAATCACTATGGTGATTTTTTTTAAATGTATGTACTTTTTACTTTTATTGGCATACATTTATGTGAAGCAAGAAATATAATTTCCACATTTTAAGTGATAGAAGTGCAGAGTTCTGCTACACAATCTGTGGGCCCAAGCTAGGAAACATCCCATTTTATAAGTTCTCACAGCACCTGAACTTTTTCTTTACAGCACTGACTACACTCACAATTAAGTAATAATTAATGCCTCAGCTGTGAACTTGCAGGGAGCAGGAACCTGTCCTTATTTG